GTCTTAGAAACCGGAAGCGGAAGTGCACATCCCGACCGGGCACCGTGCATGGGGTTACTTCTGCTCCGGCGGGAGGTTGGTGTTGTGTTCGTGGGAGTCCTTGTTGGTCCAGTACTCCTGTCCCGTGGTCGAGGGCGCTGCTCCCGCTCTCGTGCGCAGTCCTGGCCTCTCCGCCCTCCCTGGGCTGTTGCAGACCAGCGCGACTTCCTGTGTCCATGGTGTGCTCGAAGCCTCCGGCCGCCACCGCTTTCCTGCCGCGGCCACTTTGCCGGAAAACCGAACCCATCCGGCCTGCGCCCTCCTGGACCGCAGCTGTTTTCTGCACGGCCGTGGGCTGTACCTTGTCTGTCGGTGCATTAACAGGTAAAATCGTGTAAATCCTCGCTGTGCAGAAGTGTAGTTCGCCGACCAGCCCCGCAGCTTCACTGGGAGGTTGTGGGAAATGCAGTCGCGGCCCTCAGAGAAGCCCAGCGTTGTTGGCCTGAGTCTAAATGCCCGGCTTTGACCCACTTCAGCCCGCCGCTCACCGTGGTCCCCTTTGTTTTCAGTGCTTCATTAAAGCAATCCTTGTTAATTACTGCTAGTCAAACAAAAAAGTCGGTTTATGGTTAGGAATATATCCCGCTATTTCAGTGTTTATAAGTGTTGAAGGTAGATGAAGAATTAAGAACCACGAGTGAGACCGAGTACCTGCAACTAGGACCCTATTTATCCCAGTTTCAGGAGGGAAATGTTTAGTAGGAGAAACATTTCTAGGAATTTCTTTGACTGGAAGGCAGAACTTTTTGTCATAATTGTGTGGGAGACAATATAACCAACCCTAGTTCGTCTGCTGTAAAATGTGATGTGGCTTAACAAGCTTAATGGAGGCGATGGCGGGTTGATAAGCTCACACACACACCCAGGCTCGTCCAAGGTCCGAAGGCTTGGCTGAGGCAGCATCTGTGCAGGACTGGATGCTGGTGACTCAGCCACAATTTTTGCTACCAAAGAGCCTTCTTAGTAGGTTGAAAGCTTCTTGGAACAAAGCCATGAGTATTCTCAAAGTCAGAAAGGCTAATTTTAGGAATGAGGGCAAAATGGGAGGCATGTGTCATGAAACTAATTAAAATCCTTGAATAGATCATAGAGAGTCAGCCACACTACAGTGTTGCAAAAAATACCTCATCTTTTGTAGCAATTATTTTACAAAGTACCAGTGAAAACCTTGGGAGATTTGGTGGTGTACTGCCTAAGGCATTTGACTGCTAACCAGAGGCTGGGGGTTCAAACCCACCAGCCACTCAGTGGAAGGAAGATTGGGCAATCTACTTCCATAGAGATACTGCCTCGGAAACCCAAGGAAGGGTCGCTATGAGTTGAATAGGAGCTCTGGTAGCATAGTGGCTAAAGCACTTGACTGCTAACCAGAGGCTGGGGGTTCAAACCCACCAGCCACTCAGAAGGAGGATGGGCAATCTATTCCGTGGTGATACCGCCTCAGAAACCCAAGGAGGGGTCGCTATGAGTCAGATCCGACTCCAGGGCAGCGAGTTAGTTAGTGAAAACCTTATGAATAGCAATGAAACACTGTCTGGTATATTACTGGAAAATGTTATGAATAGCCCTGAAACACTGTAGTGGAGGGTCAACTTAGTATTCAATTTAGTATTATAAATCACTGGAATTTTTGTTATGCAAAAATTATGAAAAAGGGGAAACCCCTCAGCAAGATAGATTAACACAGTGGCTGCAGTGATGGGCTCGGGCATAGCGAGGATTGGGAGGCTGGCACAGGACCGGGCGGTGTTACGTTCTGTTGGACACAGGGTCACTATGAGTCAGAGCCGACTCAAGGGCCTCTAACAACAACTCTTGTTTAAACAAATGTGAAATGTGCAACTATTAAAATGTCATGATTTATAGCAAGAAATTTTGAACATGAAGAAGTAAAACTTAAATGGATGAGTAAATAATGTGTGGTGCAACTTGACTAGACAATGTTTCTTTTTAAACCTAGTGTAATACTAATTCAGAAGAAGATATGTGCATATCAAACCTGTTGCATGTAAGAGCAACAAAAGGATATTATTTTACATAATACAAAAGAGGAAGAATACTAGACACTAAAGAGTCAACCAGCAGCTGTATATATCATTGCAAAAAATGTCTAAATGGAAATGTCCCGTTTGAAAAATCATTGCTGACTCCAGTGTCATGAGGAAATCTCTGTTTTTGCTATTTAGAATTGTAAATCACTGGAGTTTTTGTTATGCAGGTAGTCTTGTTTTTTTCCATGTATTAATAACTGGTCAGAAGCAAGATTGGGCAGTCTACTTCCATAGTGATATCAGAAACCCAAGGAGGGGTTGCTGTGAGTCGGATCTGACTTGATGGCAGTGAGGTTTTTTTTTTTTTTTTTTAACTAACAGGGTGATCCAGATCTAATTACTTTAAAAAGCCCATTCTTTCCAAACTGCAGTTGCTCAAATGTGGCTTTGTTTTGCTAGGTTAGCATGACCTAAGTTTTACTATGGGTCAGAATCGACTCCATGGCACGCAACAAGAAGGCTGGCACTGAATCTTTGAAATACCCATTTTCCTCACTATATCCCCATCATGTCTACATTTCTTTCCTTTTACCTCCACATTCAGACCAAGAATCTAAATTTGTTTATTTTAATGGTGTCATTTCATGCTATCCTTTTTGTGTGTGTGGTAAAAAATATGTAAGAAACTGCTATTTCAACCATTTTTACATGTAAGATTCAGTAGCATTAATTGCTTTCACCATGTTGGGCAGCCATTATCAATTCAGTGTCCAGGTTTTTCCATTACCTTTGGTAAAACTTGGTGCCTCTTAAGCATTAACTCCCCTCTACCCTCCCACCAGCCCCTGGTGGATGGTTGGTTTGTATACTTTTGTCTACTCTAGATATTTCATGTAAGTGGGATCACACAATACTTGTTCTTTTTATCTGATTTATTTAAATTAGCATAATGTCCCAAGGTTCACCTGTGTCATAGCATTTATGAGAACTTCATTTTTTTTTTATTACTGAATAATATCCCATTGTATAGATATACTGCCTTTTGTTTATTCATGCAACTATTGATGGACATTAGGGTTGTTTCTACTTTCGACTATTATGAGTAGTACTGCAGTGAACATTGATGTAAAAGTCCCTGTTTGCATCCCTGCTTTCAAGCCCTTTGGTCATATACCTAGGAATGGAAATTATGGGTCCTATGATAATTGAATGTTTAACTTTTGAAGAACCTCTGAACTCTTTTTTCCACAGAAGCTGCACATTTTCTAATCCCACCAAGAATTTCTTCATGTTTTCCCCAACTCTTATTTTTTTTATTATTTTTTTTATTGTGATTTGGGTGAAGGTTTACAGAGCAAATTTACTTTCCATACAGCGGTTCACATATACTTTGTCTCATGACATTGACCACAGTTTTCCACAATGCAACAGTTCCCCTCCCACTTCCTCCCCATAGTTACCTCTTCCTTTCGTCTATCTCTCCATGCACTTCTGCCCCCTGAGCTGTCTCCCTGTACATAAGCAGCCCTTCTTTCTCCCATGATTGTTCTCTCCAAGGAGTGTATCTACTTGCCCAACTCTTGTTTTCTGATAGTAGCCATCCTAGTAGGGGTGCAGTGGTATCTCACTGTGGTTTTGATTTGCATTTCCTTAATAATATGCTTGGTAAAGTAAAGGGTCAGTGAAAAGGGGAAGACCCTCAACTAGATGGACTGGCACAGTGGCTACAATGATGGGCTCAATCATAGCAAGGACTGTGAGGATGGTGCAGAACCAGGCAGTGTTTTGTTCGGTTGTGCATGGGGTCGCTATGAGTTGGAGTCAACTTGACAGCACCTAACAACACAACGACTAATGGCACAGAGCATTTTTCCATGCATTAATTTGATGAAGTCCCATTTATCACTTTGTCGTTTGATACTCATGCTTTTGGCATCATATCTAAGAATCATTTGTCAAAAAAATAGTGTGTAGAAAAAAAGAAATGTTCATATGGTTTTAAAATTCTGAAAACATTGAATGTTTCAAAAATGTAGAGTGTTCATTTTTCTTTTTCTATCCTTCAGGATTGATATTCTACAAGTACTTCATTTTTGGATTGAAGTTCCACTTGGAGACATGACTGGTAGTGTAGTCATTTCATGTCAAATGAAAACCTTCATGCAAAACTACCCAGTTTTCCTAGTTCAGAATCTAGGAGTTGCCCCTAGATAACCCCACAGTATCCACTTACGTTTCCTGAAGCCCTGTGCGTGCCCGCGGTTCCTCTTCCATCCCTCTAGCTGCAGAAGTGGGAATGGAGCCTGTTTCAGAGGCTGCAGTTTGATTCTTTGTTTCCAGGATGAGGAAACCTACAGATTGACATAGGGGCTTTTGAGTACCAGTGGACTCAGGCACCAAAGCCTTCCCATAGTCCACCTGGGTACTGAGGACTGTATGGCTCTGAAACGTACCATGCCCAAAGCAGAGCCCTCAGATCTCATCCCAGCTAATCTGCGTCTCCCCTAGCTTTCCCAGATCAGGAAATGGCACCAGCATCCACTCTCTAGATTAGAAGATATGCCACTTCAAGCCTCTTTTTCTCTCATCTTCCACTTTCAAGAAAGCAGTAAGACCTATTGGTTTAGAACCAAGCTGTTACCACCATCTTCATGGCTCCAACCCTAGTCCGGGCTACTCTGAGAGAGGTATGTTAGGAAATTGGCCTTTGAACTTTCTGCCTCTTTTTCTCTGGTCACGAGGTATAATCTCCTCCTGGCAGCAAGAGGCATATTAAAAAATGTAAACCAAGTGAGATATTGGTCACACATAAAATAAAATCCATACATGTTATGTTGCCCAACAAGATGGTACATGTTCAGGTTTATGTATAGCTCTCTGACTTATGTTTATAACACTCATCCTCATATTTAGTTAGTGCTTGACACATTTTTAAAGACCTTTGTATGAGATATTTGAGGAACACTTACCATGGGAATCCCATTCTTCCCATAATGCAGGTCTGTCTGCAAATATCTCCTCCTTAGAGAGTGGCCCCTCTGCCCCTCAGTTAGCTCCCACTCATTTCTATGTTTAAATATCATTGCAGTTTGGAGACTGTGGTAAATCCAGTGTAGGGTTGACATTAACCTTAATCATGAAAATACAACCAAGCTGAATTGAATATTACCTTTGCTTTTATCTACTCTGTGTGACAGGCTTGCAGCAAACAAAAAGCTGTGAAGCTCTGCACTGTGGTGACGGCAGCTGTCACACC